TTATGCAGAAAAGAAAAACTAGTATCTTTTTTCTTAAAGCATTCGATTATTTTTCGAAAAAATTGAGTGCACTGTTCGAATGTTTCATAGTATTCATAAACAAAAGTGTTTACATGTATTTGATTCAAAAATAGTTTTCTCAGTTTTTAGTTTTCCTTATCAAGCAGAAAAAAACGAAAGTGATGCTATTTTTTTGTTTAAATTTTGTCATAATCGAAAAATTGTTTTGTTTCGAAATATAATAGGTCTCGTCAACGAGGAAATAGCTGATTGCGGACAACAGAATCACCTGGAATCATCGGAATCAATCAGAATCATCATGAGATCAATAGAAATCCAATTTCAAGAAATGTGTTCCAGGGTTATTTGGGGTAAAGAATCCGAATCTGAGGTCCATTTACCTCGAAATTCTATTGATCGGTCGAGGACCAATAGAAATCGAGTTTTCAGGAAAACCATCCGTTGGCCGTAATATGGAGCGGGGAGTTCAAATCTGAATCACACGTGCCTGGTAACTAGATTGCTACCCGAAAATCATGAAGAATGAAGATTTTGCTCAATTATTGTTTCAGCTGGAAATCTTGACTCTATCAGGGGTTACGTTCGCATCGATCCTCAAAATATATGTCAGCGTGGATTCCAACGTCTTCACAATCGCAAAGATCGAAAAATTCGTGTTGATTTCAAAATATAGTGTAGAGGTGACGATAAAACTTGATAGAGCCTCAATTTTTCAAGTTTTGTGTTATTTATATTTCTCAAAAACTTCTGATAAACTACGAAAGCACCAGGGCGTATGAGTCTAAAGGGTATGATGGAAAAAGAAAGAAAAGAAAAATATAGAAAGGAAAAATATAGAAAAAAAATGTAGAAAAGAAATATATTGATGAGAGAAATATCGAAAGGTGAAATGTTGACGGATAATCATCGAATAGAAAAACATGGAAAAATAACGAAAAGGAAAAACGTCGAAAAAGAAAAATATCGAATAGAGAAAAATTTATTTCATAATAACCAAGTATAGCATTGAAAGAAAATTTATTGAGTAAAAGAAAGAATAGAAAAATCCATAACATTAATCTAGATCAAATATAAATAAACTTCAGATGATGACAGTTTACTTCTTTTTTGATGATATATTTTTAGTCATGACATACGATAGTCCATCAAAAAGTTCCATAGCAACAATCTCACTATTGTTATACCGTGTATATAAAGTATCAAGTCTTTGTTGTATAGCTTGTGTTTTAGCAGTTTTTGGTCGAGTAGAAAGACCGGCTTTCATTTGAATCATCAAATGATTAAACCTGTTTTCTTCTCTCTGAATGCATTTAATAAAGGTCCAAATATTTGGATGAGATTTAGATAATCTTGAATTGAGTCGATTATGAATACCTAAAATTGTGTAAGATTGAATAAAATATCTAAGTACTGAAAAATGATGGAAACCCTCAGCATTATTATTTGTGCGGATTTCTAAACCATATACATTCCGTTGTTTTAAATCGTCTTTTTTTATCCATTGATTTTCAAAGTACTGAAACAAAGGTTTCAATAGATCAATCTTGTGTGGTGGTGCTTGAAGAAGTGATTCATATAGATCATCAAAAGCTTGTAAGACTAAGGACAATGGCAAAAGAGGAAGAGCCATAATTTTCCTACAAGTCATTCGAACATCTTCATTGCTATTATATTCGTTAGATAATCCAAGACTTTGAATGTGTCGATCTACGGCCTGTGTAAAGTGAAAATAACAACCTACATGATTACAATTAAGAAACTAAATAAACTAACATATAGCTATGTCTATTCAAATAAAGGTAATGTAGCATTTACTTCATTACTAAGAACCTCTGTTAATGCTGGTTCAAAATCCGACAA